GAGTGTAATCCACATGTTCAAGGTAGCCATGATGTGCGTTGTGGACAATAGTTCTGACAGGCCCACGATGAGAGAAGTGGTTCACGTGCTCACTAATCCTCCCAGTTCTCGCCCCAAGCCTACTAACCTTTTAGACCCACAGCCCAAAGGCCCATAGCCACATATTTGGTGTGCTCAGCAGTAACTAAAATAAAATCATGGTCAGCTGTAATAAGAGTATTTGCAATAAATTAAATTAAGTTGAATAATGATAAATGAAATTAAAATTTATAATTAATGATGTGATATATATTATATTATTTAAAATATTAAAATGTGAATATCACATTATTTAATTGTTATAAAACTCTTTTTTAAAATATATGATATTATATATATATCAACTAATTAAATAAAATAACATAAACTACATTATTAATTCTAAATTTTCATCCCCTATCATTACTCAATTGTGTTATGTTGTTTTAAGTTTTCTTTTTCTAAATGAAAATTTGTGGTTTGTTTATGTTTATGATGCTTCAAATCTTGAACTTGGCCCTTCGGGCAAAGTGGTTTTAGCCACGATTGTAAGGTTCATGTCCCCCTCCTCAAGGGCAACGGTTCGAGCCGGTCTCATGACAAAATGTTCAAAAAAAAAAAAAAATGATGCTTCAAATCTTAAAAATTAAAAGGTTCTTTATCCTGATTAGATCACTAGATTTTGGGTTGGACTATATATTATTAAAGAGGGTTATAGCCTGGATTATACTGATTAGATCACTAGATTTTGGGTTGGACTATATATTATTAAAGAGGGTTATAGCCTGGATTATAGGCCCATTTATTCTTTCACTGGATAAAACCCAAAACGATGCATTTCACTAATATTACTCTAGTTATTTATATACTTGACCACATTTTTGTTTTTTCCTTTTCTTTGATAAATTAAGGAACTTTGAACTTTCAAACGTACGAAATAAACAATCATTTTTTTGGTTGTTAAAAACTGACAAATTGTAGTTGAATAATTCGTGTTGGTCCGTGGCCAGGTCAGTCCAATGGGTCGATACTTCCTTTTCAATACTTTTGATAATGATTTTTGTAATAATTAGATTCTAAACGATCCATAATGGACACATTGGCAGTCTTAATCTAAACCGATTGGCTCGAAGCCTTTGCTTTGGCTTTTTATCATTAACTTTGCTAAGTACTTGTCAAAAGAAAACAACTATATCTATATATATATATAGTGTGTTAATTTTGATTTTTAAAATAAATTAAAATTTTAATATTAAATTAAATTATTTTATTTAATTAAAATTTAATTTTATTAAATGTTAATATTTAAATTAAAAAACCAATTATATATTCTTGTTAATTAGTTTTTAAATTTAAATATTAATATTTAATAAGATAAATTTTTAAATTTTGAATTAAGATTATCATTTCTAAATGTAAATTAAAACTCTAATTTATTTTGAAAATCAAGATT